TATTATTATTATTATTATTCATTTGAACAATTGTGTAAATACTTGGCTTTGCTTTTTATTTCCAAATAACGTCAGTGAGCATTTATCAGAACCCTAATTTTTTCATTGAAAATTAGTTTTTCAGTGAAAAAACTTGGTCATATAAATCAAATGGTGGAATTCTCATTCTCATGAGACTTGGACCTAGGTTTAGAAATTAAATTGACCAGAAAATCAATTTTATTTTAGGAAATAGTTACCCATTTGCTCTGCCTTGATTTTGAGTGCCCAGTAGGAGATACAGGAATGTCCAGTACCAACACTACAATCTAAGGACATTTCAAATATGTATCTTTAATTTCTTTGAGAACAAAAGTTCTCTATGAGAGAGGTCTAATGGAAGGAAACTCTGAAGCTGTCAAATATTGAGATTCAGGCTAGGAATTTCAGGTGGTAGACTTATATCAAAGCTTGTGAAAGCCTGGCTTCTCAAAGCAATCAAAATTATTAAATAGTAGATTCTTATAAAATGTTTTTTTTTGTCAAACAAACCTGTGAAATTCTTTTCTTTACCTGTAAAACAATCCATTGTCCAAGTTGAGATGACCATTCAGGCACTTCAGTGCTGAGAAGTTATGTGAAATTAATCTACTGATAAGCAGAAATCTAACATTTCACGAGATGTGGGTTCAGATTTTACCATAGAGATGCAAATATCAATATGAAGAAATTTTTATAATCTTTAATAAAGCATTGAATCAGATATTTTATCATAAAACAACCAATTTGTGGTCATACATTTCAATGTGTTTTCATTTTTCAAAGTAATTGTACTGTATTTTATTTATGTATTTTAGGCACGGAAGGGGCAGTGTTTGGGCACTCTGTGGAGACACCCCATATCAGAGCAGAGCCTTCCCAAGACCTCAAGTAGGTGTTGTTCAAAAAGTTCTTTTACAATCAAGTATTCTGATAAGTAATTAAATCTTGACTAAAAGCAAATATCTGCATAGTAATATATACTGCCTACTTAATATCTGATATATATCCAAAGCCATGGTAAACTCCAATTTGTTCCAACTAGTAAAAAAACCTCTACAAACATCTATCATACAAAATGTAAAATACATTACTTTTTATAAATTACTTGCCTCCTGTAGCAGAATCCTTGAGTAGTATATATTTCCCACAGATTGGAGTAGTCAGGAGTTTTTAAGGTCAAATTAGTCCAGTACTGTTTAATAGCGTTGGACCCAGATTTTGATTTTTTGATGAATTGTCACAAAATTTATGTCCAGTTTTTTTTTTTCGTTTTTTTTTTTTTTTTCTTCAAGTGGTGCTTCCGAGTGGTTGCTTTTTCTGAATACTACACACACAAACTTAAAAAATTAATTACCAGGTGTGGCTACATTCATAAATGCAAAAATTCTGAAGTTTTCTATACATACTCACAAAAAAGGAGAAATACATAAGTAGTAAAATATCAAATATAAAAATTACTAAGGCATCTGTAGACGGAGAGAGGGAAAAAGTTTATAGTGAAAGATTTTTTTATTTTTAATTGCATGAATGTACACAACTAAATACTAATTTGTAATTTCAATGGGTGACTAATGACTATATGACAATTGTAGAAAATCACAGGTTCGTTTTTCTGTTTCTCTCAGCAGAACAATATAGACTTTGATTCTGCTATGATTCCCAAACTTTCTGTATCTATCCCTTTACATGCATAGCAGTGTCTACAATAAATTGCTACAGAAAACCATTGTTAAATGCCCTTCCTTATATTTGCAAAGGCATCTGGGATCACTGACCAGCAATGATGTTGCAGAAATCATGTGCAGGAAGCTACCCATGTGGACAAGTTCGATCACTGTATGTGTGGTGTAAATTTCATCACTTGCACTAAACTTTTCAAAGTAATGTAATGGTTTGAAGTCTTCCAGAGGATCTTACTCATTAGATTTTTACCCTAAAAATCTCTATCCCCTGCCAAGACTCCTGTAAGTCCTTGGTTGAGAGTAGTTGTAAAAGCATTTATTAGTAATGACCACCAAGGTGGTATCGTCTCTTATCAAAGGGAGTTCAGCAGAAATCTAAGTGGAAACATAGCAAACTTTTGCTTTTTCAGGCATCCAAAATTTGAGTAAGAGGGTGGAACTTGTCCCACTCAAAAGAATAAGGAGATGCTCCTTTGTCCACTTCTTTCTAATATTTAAATTTTAATAACTGAGTGAAAATGTGTCGTAAAATAAATAAAACTCTGTCTTCAGGAATAATTTTAGTATGTTTAAAGTCACCTCATGTTGCTCGTGAAACTTACATATCAGGCATTCACTTCTCCTGTCTTTTGGCTTTATTCGTTGCCATGGTGCCCGTTGTTGCTTAATGTTTTCCAGCTCCACTCTTCCTTCAGCTTATTTTTCCAAGGTGGACTTAAATTAGTGAGAATTTTCTATTCAGCTTTTTGCCCTCTCATTAGTAATGAACTTAACTCATATTGATGAAGCAGAAACCCTTGCTGTTTGGGTCAGGAAGAAGTAGCTTATGAGTAAGTGATTTTATTCTTAATATGTTCAGTCTATAATGATCTGCAAGGTTTTGTGCACATGTACTCTTATGCATTGGTGAGGATTCAGTGATATTCCTTTTTAAAAACTCAATATTTTTAAATTATGACAACTACTCTTAGGACAGAGATTTCTTGGCTTTTGGCATTAATCCTTCTAGAAGGTAATTTACAGATAATTTTTAACCTTGTAGCTTGACAGAACTAAAAATAGTTGTGGGTTTATGCGTTGTTTTCTGTCAGCAAAGTACAGTTAGACACTCATTCCTTTGAAAATTCCAGTTACCATATGCCTTTTACTCATCTTATTTAAAAACAAACAATGGCTGTGAGATTTCTGATGTCCAAGCCCTGCATCCATTTGCTCCTGTGCCACCCCAAAAAAACCCTTTTTTTTGCTAATTTAAAAAGTGTTGCCAGAAAGCAGTGAGTTATAATTGAGATGACTGTTTGCCAAATACACCCAAAGAACTAGGTTATCAACCCTAATATGACATTTCCCCTTGGTCTCAGAAGCTACTGCTGTCACAGAAACAAAACAATACCAGATCCCGTTTCCTGGCCTCAGACCCAACTGGTACAACATTGTAAAATCATTTTATCCTTTAAACCAGAATAGTTACATCCCAAACACCAAGTGGAAATGGTCTTTGACTCATACTACCCTACAAACAGTGCCTGCAGTTTATCTGGGAGATTCATAAATGATTCTCAATTGTCTTTCAAATATGCCAGGGACTATTCAGCTGCATAAATAAAAGTTCCAGTGGTCTGGCCTGGGTCCTAGCACTTTTTAATGTTTTAGCATAAACTTAGCCAAAGTGTCCAGTAGACCATACTGGCAGTCCTAAAATGATGTATTTTTCCAAACGCTGCATCCCTGTGCCATGGAACTTTTGAAATTAATGGTAACATGGGAGAGTAAAGAGTTTGCTGAGTTGACATTAAATTTCATTTTTTCAGCAGACACAGGTGATTGTAGTTTGACAGCAAGTTGCAGTGTGCAAATAGTATATGAGGCTTTAAGAATACTTGTATATTGGGCTTAAAAAGAATTTACATTAGATTGTTAATTAAAATCTAAATTATCCTATATTTCATGTTGGAATATGTATTTATGGTTAAATAATAAAGCTCAGACATCAAGATATTAGTGTATATATATATATTTATTTAAAATGCTGGAAAACTATTCAGAACTTCAGATATGTGAAACAATTCACTACTGAATTTAAAAAGTAGAATTTTGACCCCATTGATTACTGGGAATAAAATTAATCTATAACATTTGGACTAAGATTTTGATACCCACAAAGCTCATAGTGTTTGCCTCCAGAGCCCTGGGATTTTAGCTCAATATGTTCTGGATAGGGAGTAAAAAAATAAAAAGTCACATTTGTATTATCTTCATATATCTAAACGTTCCTTATCCACTCTTTGTTCTATAGCCAGATTTTTAGATTTTCAAACAGAGAAACATTTGTAGTATCTGCTATTAAAAATGTGTTATGTAAAAATAAAATTCTGTTGAGTTAAAATAATTCCTTCCTATGTGTTCAACCACTTTGATCACATCTTTCTCCTGTCTTACGTTTTCAAATAATAGCTTGTGAGGTTTTGCTTTCAGAAAATGTTTTTTCTACAGTCCTTTGTGAAAGCTCTTTTGGGTCAAGTCCTAAAAACTAATTAAATCTGACTTTCATTAGCTGGGATAAGTAGCATAAAAGAATCATGCCTTAGAATCAGGAATATGAATTATATCTTAATAATTTAATTTTCATAGTTCTCTCACTACTTTTTCTCACAGGAGCACAGTAGGAAAACTAAACTGACAATATAATAGGTCTCCAAATATTGGCTTTAGGCTAGTAGTGCATTAAAACATGCTGCACTAAGCAGTAATATCCATGCACAAAAGAGGCAGACAGTAGTTAAAAGCAGATAGCTTTCCCCTCAATAACCTCTTTAATAAGAGGGTAAATTAATTTGTTGTTGTTCTTTGGAGATAAATGCAGGATCAAATTTAAAGGTTTTTTTTCTCTTTTATGTCAAACCTGACACACTATCAGCTAATTCTGCAAGCTAGTGCTAAGCATAATAAGATGGGAGTTGATCAAGCATCAAGGAATCACCCAAGTTAGTAGGATCCTACTTTACCTCTGATAAGAATTAAAAATACACAGATCTTACACAAGTTTGTTTCACAAAGACTTGCCTGATGGTTTGACAGAGCCATCTTTTGTGGCATTTAACAGGTGGTTTACTAATAGGGCAAAATAACTATTTTATAAAAGGCTAGAGCCAGAGAGGCATGGGAAAAGAATTTTGACATTTACTTGTTAGTCATCTGAGCAGGTTGAGAGTAACAAAAGCACTGAGAGTAACTAAAACACTGAGACTCTTCATCTTTTACCAAGAAATCAAATAATGAACCAATTTTCATCAAAGAGCAGATGATGCAGTAGAGCAAAAAAAAACCAGCTTCCTTCCTATGCTGTTTTAATGATATCAGGTTCTAGTTACTTTCTCAGTATTACTTTTTAATAAAGTAGATATATTTAGTATTTTGTGTTTGGTGTTTAAAGAGATTTCAGTGTTTGAACATGAGGATTTTCAGAAATTTGCTTGCTTAGTCTTATCCCTAGCTGTTGAAAATATATATATTTATTTTTTTTGTAATGTCCATGTACCTTAAATAGAGGAATGCAGTAAAAACTTAAAAAATTGTCAAAAGTCTTTTTTTACATGTGTGTATTATATATCATATATATATGACATTGAGTTAAATGGAGACAAAAGCCATTAATAAAAGGTGACCATTACTATGCAGATAAAACACAGTAGGCTCTTAAAACAAATAATTTTATTTAGTGTTCAGTAATGATTATTATTTTTGACATTTGAGAAGGGAAAAGGGTCTATTGGGAACAGAGGTATGACGGAAAAAAAGTATTGCTGTTACAACAGATAGCAAAATCCATTGAGTTTCATGTGGTTAATTTAGGGTGTCTCTACCCTGATATGTGACAGAACTAAATACTCATATTTACTATAAAACTTTCAAACTGTAAAACAGACACTGTCGGACTGATGGTTTAGTAAAGGTATTACTTCTAGTGAAATGGATGGAGAAAATGGATTTTAAAAGTCATCTGGTTTGTTAGACTCCTTAGTCTGAACTCACTAGTATACAATGCTTTATAATATTGTTTTAAAATATTTTAATGAAATAAAATATTTATTAAGGGCTTGAAGATAAGTAAAAATTGGGATGAAATAGAAGTTGGATAGATTGTGCCAATCCAGATAAATATTTTTCCCTTGATAAGATACTTGATCTTCTAGGACACAGAAAATA